ACTCCTGGTTACACGTCAGACTCCCAGACTCCAGGGTATGCGTCAGATTCCCGGTTACACATCAGACTCCTGGGTACGGGTCAGACTCCCGGGTATGCGTCAGACTCCCAGACTCCCGGCTACCTGTCAGATTCCTGGGTATGCATCACACTCCCAGGCTCCCAGGTATGGGTCAGACTCCCAGACTCCCGGGTATGCATCAGACTCCCAGAGTCCTAGGTACAGGTCAGACTTCTAAGTACGGGTCAGACTCCTGGGTACCTGTCAGACTCCCACACTCCTGAGACTCCCGGGTACGGGTTATACGCCTGGGTGCGTGTCAGACTCCCAGACTCCCAGGTACGGGTCAGACTCCCAGGTACACGTCCGACTCCTGGGTATGCATCAGACTCCCGGGTACGCGTCAGACTCCCAGGTACAGGTGGGTGGGTGGATGTGCTCCCCTCACCTCGCAGCTGACGTGGAGCCAGAGAAAAGGCCATGTTCCCTGTGGTTCTGTTTATAGAATGTTCAGACAAGTGTGGCTAATGTTTGGGGATGGTAGTCAAACTGATGGCTGTCTTTGGACAAGGGAGTGAGCAGGAGGGACGTGAAGAGGCTTCTGGGGTTCATCTCCGCAATGTCAGGACACCCATGGGTGCAGACACTGTGCATTTGTGAAATGTCCTCGAGCTGTACATGTAACGGTTTGTGTATTTCTCCCCCATGTGCTACATTTCAATCAGAGGATTTTTAAAACGTTAGTTTTCATAATGATTATGAAGGAAAATGTAAAATTTAAAAAAAAACGCACCAACTACGATACCGGCATTGTGATTTATTACGATATTACAAATTGCTTGTCTTCCGGCTGACCACCAGGCTTCTGAGAAGCCGGAGCCAGGCAGAGCAGGCCTAACCACGTGGGATGCTTGCTCGCGTATAGTCGATCCTGAGTCTTTCCTGGAGAGGGCGTCCGAGTGGCCTGATTTCTCTCAGAGGTCAGCGTGGAGCCGCTCCTGTCCCTGCAGCCCGTGTGGACGTGTCAGGATCTGGTTGCAGTTGCATGGAGTGCTTGGTTAAGGCTTCAAAGAGAAGCTTTAGTGACGCTGGATTTCCAGGCAGTGTGCCGGATGGAGGAGGGCCTGCCTTTGTGCCGTGGCCCCTGCCCTTGCCCCCCAGTCCTCATCCTCCCTACCTGCTGTAAATTAGTTTGCCTGGTTAGATTTCTGGAATTCCGTGTACACAGAAGCCCATCTGGCTTTATTGGTCAGCGCTGTTTTTGAGGTTCACCTTGTCTCGTGTACGTGGTTCCTTGTCACTGAGTGACCCATTCACCTCTCACGAACATTTGTCTCTTTTTCTGTTTTTTTTGTGACTGTGGGTAGAGCTGTTGTGAACTGTTGTGTGCATGTCTTTGCGTGTTGGAGGTCAGTATGTGGGAGTGCCAGGTATGTCTGATTTTCAGGAACTGCTGGTCAGATGGGACTGTCTGGACCGCTGGGAGCTCCTGCCTGACGTCAGCGGTCCTGCTGTGCTTGTGGTGGCCCTTCTGGTGCTCACACGTGCATTTGCTTGACGACTGATGTTTGTGAGCATCTTCCCATGCGCCCGTTGGCCGTTCTTTGTTTTGTGAAGTCTGTTCAAGTCTTTTGCCCATTCTTGCGAGGTTTGCTTAGTGTGGAATTGTGCAGAATGGTCGTGTGTCCGGCACAGGTCCCTTGGCAGGTGCGAGCAGATGTGTTCTCCAGGCTAACCTGGGAGACGTCCAGTTCTCATTTTGTGGCATCATCTGTCCTGTTTCTGTTTTCTGCAGACTGGTTTTTCTCCTGGTCCTGCTTCTTTTTACATTTGTGGGTTTTATTGGCATGCCATTGGTTTGTGATGGTGCTTTGTGCTGTGGGGGAAGGACTAGCCCTGGTCCTGGGCTCTCCTGGGCTCGCCCCACAGCAGGGTGGGGTCTCGGGTGCACGTCCTGGGTATGCAGGTAGGGGGGTGAAGGTGTGAGCCGCCCTCAGTGTCCAGGGAGCAGGGCTCTGTGTGGTGCCCCCACGAGGAGAGCTTTCGTTTCCAGGTTAGGCCCCTCGGCCACTGTGCAACTGGATTCACATGCTGGACTCCAGACTGTGACTTTATCGCTAGGGCAGGAGGCTTTCTTTCTCCAAACACGAATTCTATGGCAAAATTGAAGTATTTTACATTTCATTAGGAATTACTTACTTGAACTAACGTATACCTGGTTTCTTCGTAAGTTTGACATTTACAAGTTTTAAGTGTACTTTTAAAAACGTTGGTTATCAGAGGACACGTGATTGTAAGCAGCAGATGTTTGAAAGCGTCCTCACTGGGAGGTGTCCTCAGAGGGCTGGGCTGGACAGTCGGAAGGCCTGTATCTGAGCCAGCACAGCGAGGCTTCACACGGGCTCACTTGAGCCAGGCTCTGATGCCGGTGGTGGAGGTGTGGCTTATCAGGTTACCCTCCCGTCTGTCGTTCTCAGGTTGATCGGTTACTGGCCATTGCCGATTTTGGACCCCCAGATGAAAAAGAAGACTGTGTGCAAGACGACGTCAGGTATGTGGGGACGTGATTTTGATTCTTTGGGCAGATGTCCAGGTGTGGAATTGCCGGTTGCTGTGGCAGCTGCACAGTCCTGCACCCTCAGCCAGGTGTACAGGCCAGGCCTGGCATTGTGCCCGGGGGCCCAGCCTGGCGGTGGCTTGTGGCCGGTCCCAGTGGCAGCCTGCAGCAGCTCCAGCAGCTCAGCAAGGCCACTGGGAAGGCCCCTGTGGTCCCCCCAGAAGTCTAGGCTACAGTGACTCATCAAGGGAGGACGGGTGTCTCTCCCTCACCCTCTTTATCCACTCAGCACAATTTTCTTGAGTGCGTACTATGTCCCTGTTCTAGCAGCTAGGATTCTTACGTGAACAGAACAGACAATGGGGTCTTTGGAGCTCGCATTTTGCTGGGCAAGGCCAACAGGGAGCCACAGATGATTGTAGATCAGGAAGGTCTGGTTGGCCGATCAGGAGGTGGGAGGGTGGGGGCAGCGTTGCAGTTTTCAATCAGGCTGTCACTGTCTGAGAGAGACATGAGGACTCGAGGGGTGTACGTGGAGGCCCCATCGCAGGTGAGGGAAGAGCTCCAGCAGGCGCTCAGCCTCTGTTCCTTAGACGGGTGCCTCAGTGTCCAGGGTACTGTCGGGGCCTCTGGCAGGGCCCACAGTCACCATCCTGCCTGCGGAGCTAGAGCAAAGGCCCCAAGCCACGGGGAGCCCAGCCCATGGGTGTGAGACCTTCCAGAGCTGAGCAGAAAAGGGTTTAGAGGCATGAGTTGCCGAATTTGGGTTCTGAAAGGGTTGCACCAGTTCTGATCTTTTCCTTTGGTTTCTCGAGTAACCTGAGTGATAGATCTAAAAGCCCCCAGCTGTAATTCTGTGAAACTGGCCTAGCACACTAGCCATGTTTAACTGGGGAAAAAGATGGAAAACACAGCTGGTGGAAGGGGCTGTGCGGGGACCGTGCTGGCCTGCACCACGCGCAGGCTCCAGGAGCACCAGCAGAGTGGCTGGGCCGGGGAGCCCTGTGCCGTACTCCCAGCTTCCCCTGGACTCGGGCAGCCCACAGGCAAGTGGAGGTGGGAAGTGGGAGCGCTGGCCCAGGACCCACGCTGTCCTGCTGCTTTGTTTGTGCTTCACCGGATGCCTCTTCTCCCTCCAGGGGCCCCGGGGCCCTGGATGCTCCTGAGCCGCAAGGCACCCCGGCCTCTGCCACGTGCTCAAGTCTGTGTGGGATCGACCACGAGGCGCTCAACAAACAGATCTTGGAGTACAAGAGGAGGAAAGGGCAAGGGCGTAGGACCGTGAGTCCCGAGGAGGCGCGGCTGACAGCTGATCTGGCAACGCAAACGAGAGAGGGAAAGGTGGCACCCTGTGCAGATAGTGACCTCTCCCCCAGGAACCATCTGTTGGGGGCGGCGAGCAGCAACCCCGGCCCTGACCTGGGTGGCACCTGGGGTGCGGACAGCAGCCCGAGCTGCAGAGCAGGGGGCAGCGAGCGGCGGAGGCAGGAAGGGGGGAGGTGACCAAGGGGCGGGGAGGGGGTGGGTCCTGGGCTCCAGGCGTGCGGTGCAGCCCAAGGACACCGGTGGACGTGGAACTTGGGCTGAGAACGGAGGTGGTCGTGGGAAGCATGTGAAAGCCTTTTGCTTGATGGCAGCAGTCGGTCCTCCTGACTCGGGCACTTGCACACCCTTCTCGGACGTGGACAGCCCTGTGCCGCACAGGCTCCTGGTTAGGAAGGCAGAGCGTCTTTGTCTTGTTTGCGCGGGTTTCAGCTCACGCCTGAAGCGCCATCCTTACGGTCTACTAAACAATGGCCCCAAGTCCAGTTTTCCCCAGGGCAAGAAGCTATGGTGCCTGTCAGAAGTAAAATAAACCCTTAATCAAGTCTGACCTAGAGAAACATGCTTCTGGGTGTGGGGTACCTCCCTTTCCCAAGCACTGTCACTGTCCTGATGATGAAAATGGTACCACAGAGCTTACACGATCAGACACGCGTGAGACGGAGCGAGGAAGTTGGTGGCCTGGCTTTTTGGGGGCGTGTGACTTGTGCTTTTGTAAATAGTCTCAGGGAGGAAGCATTGCCGTCACCCCAGCCGTGCGGGCACGCCCCCTGTGCACTTTGTGTGCAGGCAGGTGGCACCGTGAAGTGCTGCCTTTGCCAGCAAAGTGGCCCCCGTTGAAGGGAGGGACACATCGCAGGTCAGAAGCGCTGGGTGCGTTGGTGTCTGCGTGGCATTTGCGTGATCCCCCCGGTCCCGGAAGGCACAGGTGGCCGTGGGTATGGAGCATTTCACTTGGGAGTGCACTTGCTGACGAAGCGCCTCTTCTGACCAGAGAAGAAACGTCCAGAGGAAGGCTGCACCTGTCTGAGAATACGTGTGGTTGGTTCTGATCAGGTGTGGTAGGTGACAGACCTTGAGACGGCTGCCCGGAAAGGAGCATTTGCTCTTCAGTGTTCCCGGGAGGCAGAGACATGCCTCGCTGCACAGGGCCATTCAGGGAGGCACTGGGCTCGGTCTAGAGGCAGAGAAGGTGTGGCTTCTGCAGGAATGAATGGGCTGGGTAGTGTAATTTCAGTAGGCTCTGGGCTGTGGGGGTGCTGGCCCTGGGGGACACGGAGCAGAGGAAGTGCTCGCTGGTGTGTAAGAACCAGGTAAAGGAGGCAGTTGGAGTGTGGGTTCTGGGTTTGCTCATAAAAGGTGAGCTCACAGGGCAACTATTTGCTGTCTTTAGGAGTTAGCCCTGGGAGGGGTAGCCTCTCCCAGGCCAACAAGGCCCCCAAGATGTTAAAACATCGTAAACACAGAACATAAGAAACATGACTAATACGGGACCCTGTAGCGCCAAGCAGCCTGCTTCCTGACAGCCACGTCTGCGTCCACACCACAGGAGGTGCCCAGACCCCAAATGCAGAGCAGCAGGGACAAGGCTCCTGGATTGTGAGGCCGTGAACTGTGTCGCACAAACTGTGCCCATCACTGCGTCACAGGACTGGGGACTGGGGGGGAGGCCGGGGTGCTGGCTCTTCTTTCTTTTCCCGCTTGTGCTTGGGGCTCCGTTTGTTGAAAGTCAACAAATGGCCGGAACAAGGTGTGTTTCCAGACCTGGGAAGCTGTGCTCCATACTCTCAGCTTGTCTCCTGTAAGTACAATATAAGCAAGGGGTTGGGGGGCGAGGGCTGTAGTGGGGACGGGAGGAACAGAGCTTCCCGTCAGGAGAAGCCTGTGGTGTGGTCGATCCCGCTGGCATCCTCCACGGACAGGCCCTCACGCTGCAGTACCAGTTGTGTTCTCGAGGGACAGGGAGCACGACCACGTGATCACCTCTGCATTTCCTGCCAGGTGCCGTGTGGGGTGTGGACCAGGCTTACGGGGTGAAAAGAGACATGAACAGCGTCCATGTTCGCCACTGGCATGCAGCACTGTGCACACTTTTTTTTTTTTAAGATTTTACTTATTTGAGAGAGGGAGAGCAAGAGAGAGAGCGAGAGCAAGAGCAGAGGCAGAGGGAGAAGCAGGCTCCCCGCTGAGGAGGGAGCCCGATGCGGGGCTCAATCCCAGGATCCCAGGATCATGACCTGAGCCGAAGGCAGATGCCTAACGACCGAGCCCCCCAGGCGCCTCTCACCTCTGATTTTGTTAAAAGGACTTGGAATTTCAGTTACTTGACGTGCAGTCAGAGAGTTTCTGGGTTGGTGTGTGTGTGGAGGTTTGGGGAGTGGGCCTGGCGGCTCTGCGCCCTCCCCACCCCTTCCTCTGGCTGGTCCAGGTTATTTTCTCTTAATAAGCTGGCAATCTACACGGGGGCTTCGGCCCTTCCACCTGCTGATGACCGAGTGGAAATCCTAGAACGGACTGAGTAGCCAGAGAGTGGAATTGAAAATAAACATTAAGCAACTGAAACACCTAATAGGAAAGAAAACTTGACAGGCTTCCATGGGAGGAGTGCCACAGAAGACAGCTTTGTTTCAGTCTTTGAAAACTCCATGTTCTTCAGAAGGACTTCCTCCCTCAAGTCTCCGTCTGACATCTTGGCCTTCTAGGTCCTATCAGGAAAGTTCAAAATATCTCCCGCTTTTTTATGGCATCTTCTCTGTTCAGCAGTTCGTGATACATGCAATTTTTAAAAAAGTATTTGTCATAAAGCATATTCAAAACTCCACAGTTAAATCTATGATGCATATAAGCTCTAGAGTGAAATAAAGGATCTAATTACTCCATATAATCCCAAAGGATTGGGAAAAGCCTGTGCCACCCCAGGCCCTACTTATATTCTGCACCAGCCTGTCGAGGTGTGGAGAGCTGGTTCTGAAATCCTGTGTCCCAAGGTTTGTTCATTTCTTAATTGAGGGTTATCAGAATTACGTAAAGTGTAGCCCTGGGAACAATATGTTATATGACAAAATAGAACTCACTTTCAGTAGGTTGAGATAAAGAGCCCAAACCAGCCAAATGAAGTTTAACAGGGATCCGTGTAAATTCCCGTAATTGGAGTTTAAATATTAATTCTTGAACTACAGCATGGCAGCTCCAGTGGCAAGTCTGGTGGTTGCAGCATGTGTCCTAAGCGGAGCCTGGGGCAGGCGTGGCTGCCGAGGGTGGGAGGTGGTGCAGGGGTGCGCCTGACGTTCAGTTTGTGGAACTGTGGTTAAAGAGGACTTTGGTAGTAGAAAAAGTCGCCCTGGGAAGGGTTCGTGGGGGAGGCAGAGTCAGGGTCCCTGAAGCAGCAAGGGTTCTCCACAGTAGCAGCGAGCCGCGGCTGGAACTGGCCGCAGATGCCAAGTACAGGGCAGATCCAAAGCGTTACCAACCCTGAACTCCCAGCCTGGGCCCCCCCAGGTCAGAGTCGGCTTTGCCTCCGTGGGTTTGCCTCCGCAGGTTTGCCTTGGGATGTTCCTTCTGTTCGAGTCAAAGGGTCCTTGTTAATCATTCACCTTTCACGCTCACCCCTTTCCCCTTTCAGATGTGAGCCCAGCCCCCGATCTGCAGCAGCCTCCCAGGCAGCGTCTCTCAGGACCCTGATGGTGATGCTGGTGCTACGGCCTTACTTGGTGCCTTAACTGTTGCTGTGACTTCTTCTTGGCACATTCTCTTCCCCTTTCTGCCTCACCTGGGGCCACCTCCTTTGGGGAGCCTTCTGTGAACCCCCAAGTCTTGGTTGCGGCCCCCTACATTCCCTTAGCTGAGACCTCACTGCATGGACTGCTCAGCCTCTTGCCTGCCTCTCGCACAGGGTTTCCCAGGCCAGAGTGTAGCAAGTGTTGATTGACTGACTAATGGACTGCTGGGGTCTGCTCTGAGGTCAGGGGCAAGTGATCTCGCTGGCTCAGGGGAACATGAGCAGCAAACGAAGACACGGCCTGAGGCCCCTTTTCACTCTGGGCCTGAGAAAAGCCGAGGCAAAGCAGAACATAGGGCCAGAAATAAGACTGCAAAAGAGCCACTTGTCACTGGGATTGTAGCAGAAAATCAGGGCTTCGAGATAAAACAGAGAAAGAAGGCAAGATGCAGGTTTCGTGTATTTGGGGAGAACACAGGCATGTTGCGGCTTCAGATCCTGACCACGGAGGTGGACGTGACGACCTCATGCTCCAGAGGAGCCCTCTCCAGCCATCTGGCTTCTGAGACTGCAGCTCTGGGTTCAGTACTCAGATCTGCTGCCAGTGACCTCCGTGCTCAGTGCCCTTCGGCTGTCAGGGTCCCAGTGAGGGTGTCCTGACTCGCGTGACCACCTACCAGAGTCTGGTACATGCTTCATATTCGTTCTCATTGCTGCTGAGGATTTTGGTTTCCGAATGAGCAAAGGGATCAGGGGGAAGCGGTTCATTCCGTGTTTGGTGGAGATGTGTACAACTTACCTCATGAGGATGTGCAGAGCGGGATGTTCACATGCACCTGTTTGAGGTGGCCCCACAGAAGTGGCTGGGTTTTCATGTCCTTGTGACATGCCAAGATCGTAGGAGACCAGAGTCCGTCCTATTGGAAGTCAGATGTGCCTGTCAGAACCCAGTAAACACAGAGCCTTACAGCTGCAAACATTCCTCCGGATCCTACAATAAATCCTGTTGTGAGAGCAGAAGCAGAGTGTTCCAGCCTCACCTTTATCTTGGAGAACGTGAGCACACACCTGTGTGGCTTTTTAGTGTTAATTTGAATACCGTAGAGCTCTAGCCTTGAACAAAACCTGAAGGGGAAGCTGAATACTGACAAGTTGTTTTCATGCCAAGACGTGAAGCTCAAAATGATGGTCAGGTGCAGACCTTGGTAACCTCCTGCGTGGGGATGGTTTGGCAGTGGCCACAGGCTCACCTGGGCAAGGCCCCCAGGAGGAGACAGCACGCAGGCCTCCCACAGAGGCAGCCTGGAGGAGAGGAAGAGGCCCATAAAGTGTTGCACAGAAAACCTGTCTGTTTCCTTTCCCAGTTCCCAGCAGTTCTCATTGTGTTCCTTAGGCCCCCACATGCTCAGATACAACTTGTCTTTCAGGTGCTTGCTGGGTGTTTTCTGTGTCTTGCCAGGCTGAAACCAACACTCACACACTCACCCTCTGAGTAGTGTTCGTGATTAGGAGAGCTGGGTCTTTGCCACTTCCACTGGGAGGAGCCCCTCCTCTGCAGCAGTCCTGGTCAGCCCCGGACTGGCCAGGACTAGCAGACTTGCACAGTTCCAGCTTTTCTGCATCTCAGGGCAGCTTCCCTTTCCCTTTCCCCGCCCCCTGCCAGTTCTGTGTGGTTTGTGCAGGAGCCTTGATGGCCTTCCTGCCACTGAGCCTTGGTTTCTGGAACTTTGAATCTGGGTGAGACAAGCGCTGGGATCTTGCTTTTCCCCTCTTAGAACAGGAACCGTACAGATAGGCCTGTTTGCTGCCCAAAATCGAGATGTCAGGAGTGATTTTCTGTCTGCAAGGCACAGAGGACAAATGGAGACACCATTGCTCCCCTCGGGCATGGGTGCACCCGCTTCCCCTGGACCTGTCCCATGAAACTTAAAAGCAGCAGCCACCATGCAGCTTCTTTCCCTGGAAAAGCCCAAGTTCTGCCGCCCAGGCACCTGCTAGGATGACCACATGGCAGATGTGTGGCTCACAGCCTCCAGTGTCTCACTCTGCTCCTGTCTGTGGTGCACATGGGTGCCAGACGGTGTTAGGAAACCTACTTCCTCTCTAGCTCGGAGCAATCTGCACTGGAAGAAGGACATGGCCCACGTCACACCCAATAAGCTGAGGTGACACCCAGTCATTGCACAGATGCCACTGAGATCAAACCCAGAGTATCTGCTACAGAGGGGAACAGTGCAGTTTCCATCCAATTTTTTAAAAAGTTTTCATTTATCTATCTGAGAGAAAACGAGTGAGGAAGGGGCAGAGGCAGAGGGAGGAGCAGACTCCCCACTGAGCAGGGAGCCTGATGCAGGACTGGGCCAAAGGCAGACGTTCACTGACTGAGCCACCCAGGCGTCCATCTATTTTTTAAAGTAGGTTTTCAGCAACTGAAGGCAGAACAAAACATTGTTGCCTGCAATATTTAGTTTAGATCTGGATAACACTTCCAAGTATTCTAGAATGCATGTCCCTGTAACACCATTTTCTGTGTATTTTCAAATTCACTAATGATAGCACTTCTCAACATGAACCATGAGATTAGGCACCACCTTTTAAAGTATGCTGTTCTGGGAAGAACATGTGTACAAGAAACTCTCGGATGCCCAGTAAACCCTCTTGACTCAGCCCCAAACATAAAATTCCCTTCTGTGCCACCATTCTGTATGCAGGCAGTTCGCACACTGGTGCTTGATGCAGGCTCTGTAGAAACGAGCCGGCACATCAGAGTGACTGACAGGATGGTGGTATCCATGTTGTGTGGGCTGGACCTTCCTTGTGGGTTCTGTTTTGAATTCCTGATGTTGGTTCCTGGTTAGGCCTGAGACGTGCAAATTGGTACATGGGCTGCGTTCCTGCATCACACATCATTATAGGATTAAGAAGGTTTGTGAGGAGTCAGTTGCCCTCATCCTCCCATGCTCAGCTACTGGGCCTTCAAAGCAGGTTTTATTAGAGTTTGTTAATCTTGGTCACAAAGCCAAGAATAATTGCGTGTATTTTAGTTACCAGGAGAAAAGCAGAGGAAGAATCATTAGAAATGTCATTAAGAAATGACAGGAGATCTGGGGCAGGTTCTTGCCTGAATTCTGTTGATAGAAACCAGCAGATCCTGGAAGTGTGTCACATACAGCCTTAGAGCAGTCGACTAAAGTGTGAGTGTGCCCATGTGTGAATGCCTGTGTGTGTGGTTCTGTTTGCATGTGTGCAAGTGTGTGTATGTGTGAGTGCCGATTCACAAGCCATTAGGCTAGGAGTGCTTCAAAAAAGATCTATTTGAGAGAAAGAAATGAGCAGGGGCGGGGGAGTGGCAGGCAGAGGGAGAGGGAGAAGCAGACTCCACGTGGAGCAGGAACCTGATGTGGGACTCCATCCCAGGTGTCCCAGGCTGTGAGGTCTTAAGGCACAACATTCATAACAGGGCCATCTGGCCATTGCCACTGACATTTGTCCTGTAGTTTTGGCTCCATTTCAAGAAATCTCAGAGCCATCAAGATTAGGGAAGAGGCAGGATTTGAAGATCATGTCCTATATTGTTAAAAAGCTGTACTTTTTTGGGTAGAAACACACTGGAGCCTTCTAACCCTTTTCTGTAATGAAATGTTGAAAATGTTCTGATGCACAGCAATGTCTAGACACCCCCGTCTCCCCAAGATCTGTGGTAACAAGTTGGGTCTGGAGTCTGCCCTGATCCCTGGGTCACAACATCCCTCCTCTTACAGGAAAGTGTGCCCGTTAAAAAAAAAAAACAAAAAACTGTCCCTGAAAAAGACCTGATGGCAGATCTACTAGGTAAAGACTTTAAAGCAACTGTCTTGACCCTCAGCTGACAAAAGATGTGGAGGAAATCAACAAAACAATGTGAGAACAAAATGGAACCATCCAAAAAGAGAAAGCAAAAAGAAACTGTGAAGAAATTCTGGAGCTGGAAAGTACAATAATGGAAATGAAATACTCACTAGAGGAATTCAGAGGCAGGTTTTTTTTTTTTTTTTTTATTTTTTTTTAAATTTTTTTAAATATTTTATTTATTTGAGAGAGAAAGAATGAGAGACAGATAGCAAGAGAGGGAAGAGGGTCAGAGGGAGAAGCAGACCCCCCGCTGAGCAGGGAGCCCGATGTGGGACTCGATCCCAGGACTCCAGGATCATGACCTGAGCTGAAGGCAGTCGCTTAACCAACTGAGCCACCCAGGCGCCCCAGAGGCAGGTTTTAAGCACAAGAAAGAAACAGTGGATTGTAACATCAGACAAAGGAAGTTGAGTTTGAGGAACAGAAAGGAAAAAAAAGAATAAAAGTTAATGGCACCTAAGGGACCTGTGGGATTCCACCAAGCAGAGAAACCTATGCATTGTGGGGGTCCCAGAAGGAGAAGAGAGAGAAAGAGGTAGACAAGTATTTGAAGAAATAATGGCTGAAAGTTTCCCAAGTTTGAGGAAACATCCAGGAAGCTCAGTGAACTCCAAGTTAAGATGAACTCAGAGACCCACACTAAGAAACACAAAAGCTAAATAATCTTGAAGCAGCAAGAGAGAGGTAATTACATACAAGGCTATCCCAAGTAAGGTTAATAGATTTCCATCAGAAACGGGAGGTCAGGAGGCAGTGGGTTGATATATGCAACGTGCTAAAAGAAAAACGTTCAACCAAGAATTCTATATTCAGCAAAATGTCCTTCAGAAGTGAGGGAGAAATTAAGACATTAGTAAATAAAAGCTGAGGGAGTGCTTCACCACTAGACCTGCCCTTCAAGAAATATTTGAAGGAGTCCTGCAGGGTGAAATGAAGGACAGTAGACAGTAACTTGAAGCTGTGTGGAGAAATGAAGATCTCAGTAAAGAAAAATAAATGGCCAATTATAAAAACTAGTAACAACAATTTTAACTCCACATTTTGTTTTCTACATAATTTAAGAGAGCGCATTTAACAGAATTGTTAATTTATGTTTTGTGGCATCAACAACTAAAAGGGCTGGGGACAGATTTTGAGCAGTTTTTGTGTGTTATTGAAATTAAGCTGGTATAAGTTCAGATTAGAGTGTTACAGTTTCAGGATGTTAAATGTAATCCCCACGGTAACCACAAAGAAAATAGCTATAGAATATACACAAAAGGAAATGAGAAAGTTTAAATGTTTCAGTACCAAAAAACAAAAAACCCACAAAAGAGTAATGCAGGAAACGAGTGACAAAAAGAAGCTGTAAGGCACATAACAAATAGCAAAATGACAGAAGTCCTCCCTTATTTGTAATTACCTTAAATATAAATGGATTAAACTCTCCAAGGAAATGACAGAGATTGGCAGAATGGATAAAAACCATCTTCCAACTACATGCTGTCTTCAAGAGACTCTAGATCCAAAGACATAAGTAGATTGAAAGGTGAGAGGATATAAAAAGATGTTCGCTGCAAATAATAACCAATGATAGCAGGAGTGGCTACAATAATACCAGACAAAAATGAGTTTAAATTTTAAAAAATTACAAGAGATAGGGGAGGGCACTGTATATTAATAAAAATTTCCATAAAACAAGATACATAGTTACAAACATTTACTTGTCTAATGACAGGCCATTGAAATATATGAAGCAAAATTTGACACAACTGAAGGGAGAAAGAGTTTTAAAATACTTGGAGACTCTAATTTCCTTCTCCTAATAATGGATACAAAACCCAGACAGAAGTAGGGAAAGAGAGGACTTTAAATCTAACACATCAGGACACTCTACCCAGCAAGAGCACACACAGTGCTCTCAAGTGCACGTGGGACGTTTTCCAGGATAGATCATATGTTATGCCACAAATTAAGTCTCAATTTAAAAACAGCTGTTCTACAATCTTGGACCACAGTGGTATGAAATTTGAAATCAGTAACAAAATTGGAAAATCCACAAATCTGTGGAAGTTAAATCAACACACTCTTAAATAACCAATAGGTCAAAAAAGAAATCACAGGGAGATTAGAAAATACTTAGAGATGAATGAAAATGAAAACAGCACATCAAAACTTACAGGATGCAGCAAAAGCAGTGCTAAAGGGACATTTATAGTTACAAATGCTTACATTAAAAAACCAAGAAGATCTCAAAGCAACAACCTAACTTTAAGGAAATGCAGAACTAACCCTAACCCAAAACTAGCAGAAGGAAGGAAATAAAGATTAGAACCGTGACAGAGGAAGTCGAGAACAGGAAATCAGTAGAGAATATCAATAAACTAAAATGTTAGTTCTTCAAAACGATGAACAAAATTGACAAAACTTTAGATGAACATTGAAATTACTGAAATCAGAAATGAAAATGGAGAAATTGTCAATTCTACAGAAATAAAATGGATTATAAGAGTACTGTGAGCATTTGTACACCAACAATTGGATAACCTAGATGAAATGG